GAGGGAGGGAGGGAGGGAGGGACGGATGGATGGATGGATGGATGGATGAATTGACGGATGGACGGATGGACAGATGGGACGGATGGGGCGGATGGACGGACGGACGGACGGATAAATAGATAAAATGACACATGGATGGACAGATGGATGGATAAATGGCTGGATAGATGGATGGATGTTTGGATGGGTGGATGGGTGGATTGGTGGATTTGCGGCCTGGAGGGGTGTGTAAGAGAATGAATGAATGAATGAATGAATGAATGAATGAATGAATGAATGAATGAATACATACATACATACATACATACATACATACATACATACATACATACACACCCGCAGCACGCATACATAGGTATATACACACATACATGCTACATGCATAAATACACACCACAGACACACACACACATGCATTTACACACATGGTAGACAAAGTTAGACTTCTTATATATGCTTCCGTAGACCTGTTTGCGCTGATATGTGCTTAAGACTCATGTTTTCCCGGTGTAGTGCTACCGTGCTTTCTTGCGACTGAGGGCAAATGACTATGTATCGCTATATCTGACGATGTACGTACGCGCATGTTTGACTACACAGGATATTAAGACGATGCATGATGCCTGACTATGTAAGGCTCTAAGTGGATGTATGATAACATGAGCATACATGATCCTGTCTGCTCGTGTGACTGCGCAGGTCATTTAGCAGAATTGCGTCTGGTTGGATATGCGTGTGAAGGGTCATACAAGCTATATATGATTCCTAATTACCTTTGAGTCTATTTGGATCAGTATGATTGCATAAGATGATGTATGATTGCACGTGTTGTTTGGGTTTACAGAAGTTTACATATCCCAACCCACCACGAGATTGCCACATCCTGAATGGATTGCAGGAGCCTGCCGAACTCCAAGCAGATGTGAAGGGACAGGGTGGAGATGCTGACGGAGGAGCCGCCTCTTGGCATGCTGAGTTCACGTGTTCTTGTTGTTGCATCCCCTTCCCAGATTGAAGCTTTGGGGAGCTGCGCCTCCGGCCTTGCGAGCATGTCGCGAGGTTTGTTTGTCGAATTCAGGCTGGAAGTGTTGAATTCTGCGGAAGCAACATTGGAACATGCAGCCAGAAAAACATGTTGTGGACAGTCGCCACCTCGCCACCAACCACATGTGGACGGTCGATACAGAACCAGAGACGCACACTGCATGTTCCCAAGACACGGAGGTGCAAGCATCAGGTTCGAAGAAATCAAGGTTCAGCAATAAGGAATGATGCGATGCCATCAATCCATGAATTTTAGCAGGTGTGAAGCTGATGCCCAGAAACTGGTCAGCGGGACGAAACCACAGCTTTCGTGAGACGAGAACCAGAGATGAAATTCACAGCAGAACCGGAGAAGGAAGGACAGAGGGACCAGGTCTGGCGAATCCTCTTCTTGCCCATCCCAACTCTTGAGTCCTAGAGCCTTAGAAACCAATGTCTGGCAAGAAGACTAACAGACTAACAGCTGCCGCAGCCAAGTTGCTCAAACCTCCGTGCTACGAAGGCTCGACGTAGCACAGTGTGGCTGCACCGACTAGTCAACATGGCTCAGTTCAGACCACTCCATTGAACCCGAGCTCGGAGACACAGAAGTAGGCACACGAGTCGCTGGTGCTAGCGCCACGGAAACCACGGGCTTGCATGCTAAAGCAGGCAAGAGACGAAGACTACCCCGAGGAGAAAGATCCCTGACAATTCGGCCCCGGGGTCAAGATCGTAACTACACTGCTCCGGTTGCAGGCAGGGCAGGGAGCCCGAAGAGGGCTCTTCGTGAGTCTTTGCTGAGGAATCTTCCGCAAAGATGTTTGAGTGTTGATGACGCGAGGTCGGTGATGTTCTTGTGGGGATCGGCGTCCGCTACAGTAATGGACCGCCAGGTGGCGAAACTCTGAGCGTTTTGGTCTAAATGCTGTGAAAAGGTGCGCAGTTAAAGTGCGCTTACGATCTCATAGATGTGAAGCTGCCCCAAGCAATCACACTATTGCTTTCTTGTCGACTCGCTGTTGCTAGTGTGATGAAAGCACCGATGCCACCCACTTAAACAGCAACTGATATTTTCGGAGGGATAACAGGCAAATCACGGCAAATCTCGTGAACATTCCCCAAACCACCCGATTGGGTACCCAAGCAAGTAAGCCAAAAGTCGTAGGCCTCGGTTGCTAGGGCACATGCCGAGTTGACAGTCTTACTCGTTTACCGCTGCACGGGTTCAGGCAACAGTCTCGCTTCTCATTATGTCAGCGTTCAAGTCTCATTTTCCTCGTTCTGCTACGAAAATTCAAAAGGTCAGTAGCAAGTAGTGACATGTGTGGCAGGGTATTTGAAGAGATATTCATGGACCGGGGATGTTTCTGCGGGTGGATGCTGCCGGTGTTGGGGGGACAATTATCCTTTCCCTGACAGAGGTGGCCAGCTCTACCTAAAGCGCTACGCAACCCCGGCATGCTCCCCCCCCCCCCGTCCCCAATCAACGCTTCGGGCTGCGCCTAACTCTGCCCCATGTTGCTACAGTACTATTTGGAGATTGCGGCAAGTCGGCAACGAAGCGAGGAGGCTCTAGGGGTTCAAACAATGTGGGGTTTGGGGGTTTAGGGTGAGGGTTTGGGGTTTGGAGTTTAGGGTTTAGGTGGGGTTTAGGGCAGCAGGTCACATCAATCGGGGCTTATCTGCACGAGCATCTTGTCAAATCACATCTGCAACGTGGAATAAAGGTGACGGAGCCTTGTGAAACTGAGACGCCGGCGACTCGTAACCTTTCTGACACTGATACGTTGCAGTCGCGGTTCGAGCTAGGCCGGTTCGAGCTAGGCCGTTTTGCCGTGCGCATCGGAGATCTCCTGCAGTCTTCCATTTGCAGCACACCTGAGCCTGACACCCGTGAGAGTGGGTGGGCAGTGACCCAGGTGACGGCAGCGCACACGCCTGCGCGCGTGCGCGTCAGTGCTGACTAAGGTAGCATCTCGGGCCGGGAGCTCTCTGCATTCGCACACTCAGCGTACACAGAAGCGGCTTCTAAGCAGGTCTGTACAGCTCCTTGTGGCCCTGGGAACGGGCCTGGCTCAAAAGCTATACATGCCAGGATTTGGCCTTGCATTCAGGCTGTTAAACGACATCTGCCTGTGGTTTTCGCACATGAAATGCCAAGGAACATGGCCGACAACGGAGTATGCCAAGACACAATTTGTTTCGCCTTCGTATGTGAAAGTTCTTATGATTATGCACCAGTCTGGACAACACCGATGACAAACACGACGACCACGACGACCACGCCGAAGACAACGACCACGCCGACGACGAAAAAGACGCAGACGTCGACGGACGACAAACACACGCCGCAACCCCGACGACGAGGACCAACGCAAAAACGACGACGACGAACACACGAAGTCGAAGACGACGACGACGACGCCGACGACGACGATGCCGAGGACGACGATGTCGACGCCTGCGACGTCGACGACGACGACAACGAACACGACACCGACAATGCCGATGACCACGCCGACGACGACGTTGACAAGCACTGGTCTACCACCACTAGTGCTGCTCTGTCACTGTCTGCACGTCTGATAAGCCCTCTGAGAACATGAAGGGCGCAAACCGGGGGCAGTTTATGCTGCGATCGACAGCACACCTGAGCCTGGCACCTGGGATAGTTGGTGGTTGGAGACCCAAGTGGCTACCTCGCGCTTTGCGCTCATGAGCTTACCTTGGAGACCTCTGGCTTCAAGGTCATGCTGCCAAAAATGCCACCTGACTCAATGCGGCCTTAGGTGGATAAATAAAATGCAATGCTTGTCATTGTGGCCAATAGAACGGTGCTCTGCAACTTAGATACTCGCCTATGTTGTCGCTACCGTCGAGAGGCGGTCACATCACCACGCCGTAGTGTTGGACTGCCACAGCATGAGCCACGAGAAGGAAGTCTGAAGTTGCTCAAAACAGCAACATCGGACGGCTCTGCGATGAAAGACTTTGCATAGCCAAATTGGAAGAGCAAGTATGCCCCTATCGAATTCGAGATGTTTGGGACCAGGGCTGAGCAAAGGAGGGGCGAGCACGTTCCTCAGGGACTCCTCCCCAGAGGTAGGGGCCATCTTCGGAAAGCAAGGAAGCGGCTGAGCTTCCCAGCGCAGCGGGGGCCGCTGGAGACAAGAAGCTCCGTACTTGCTGCCACTCCTCAGAAGGCGCAGTGAGAACCTCGAAGCAGGGAGCTGCCAGGAGTGTTTCAAATGCCCAAAACACACTTGGTAGCACCGCATAGCAGAGCCACCTCGAAGTGGTCACGCGGGCACCACTGGGTTTGCACCTTCAGCCTCGGCTTCTGTCTGTTGCGGATGTTGCGGCGAGCCATTTCCAAAACACTCCAAGCAACCCATTCTTGGCAACCAGCTGGTCGAAGCCGGTATAGTCGTCACCTTCACACTTCACCTGACGGCCAGTCTGTCGTGGCAGGAAGAGGTGGGATGGTGTAAGCTCGACAGCTAGACTAGAAGCTGTCCCCTTTCTCGCTTTCTCTCTCCCAGCTTGCTTTTTCGGGCATCCGCTGCACTACGACTTCGGCTTGAAAGCTTGGAGGACCATGACTCGCGTAGTGTCTTTCAGGTCCACGGAAGACCTCCCAGAACGCTCAAATGCTGTCTCGGGCTTTCGGGCAAGTCGCCACAAGGATATCTGCTCGGCTGCCACAGGTAAGTTCGCCAATGTTCAGGTCCTCCAGTGATGACGTGTGATCGAGGCTTGCAGCGGGGATACTTAACTGGCTGTAGGGCGGGGGATTGGAAAAATGAATCTGCCGGCTGTTTATGCGAACTCTGATTGCCAGGACCCAGCAACCTGGGGAGCCGTAAATCAGTGCTGAAGGATCAGCGATGTCAGCTTCACACTCAGAAATACATGCCTAAAACTCGTTGACATACACACAAGAACACATGCAGACAGACGGATTCAAAAACAGACAGGCAGACAGATGGGTAAAGTAGAGAGACAGGTAGATAGCTAGCTAGGTAGGTAGGTAGGTAGGTAGGCAGGCAGGCAGCCACGGAGGTAGGTAGGTCGGTCGGTCGGTTGGTCGGTAGGTCGGCAGGTAGGTAGGAGAAAGATGAATAGAAGGTGTGCGTAATATATACATAGTAAAACCAGAGATGCAGACAGAGATATTGATGAATGTAGACAGGGTTCGACACAGCTAGATTTAGAGAGATACAGATAGATATAAGTACTCATATTGCTAATTCCAGGAACGCAACAAAGTAATGCATCTGATTCTCGAAGAAACGTGCCATGCCCGACTGAGTAGCCGAGGCTGGCCTCATGTGTAGTCCATGCCCCAAAACATATACCTAATCTTCCGAGCTCGCGCTCCCAAATCTGAGTCCGAACCTCCCCGACGCTGTGGCCGCCAATCCCCTAGATCTCCCGTCCTTCTGGGTCTTGTAGCGCGCGGCGAAATAGGGCAGAAGAGGCTCAACAGTTGCTGCATCTATGCCGGCATGCGAGAGTACCTGCTGCACATAAACAAACAAAAAAAAATATATATATATATGCACATATGCATATAAGCTGGGAATCTTCAAAGTCGGGCTCGGTATACGATTCGTATAAGGTTGGTAGATTTTAGTGCGCTGCTCCGAAACTGCGACATCCCACGAAGGAGATCTCAAGCAGGCACCCAATCGCAGCTGAACATGTCATGTTGCAGTCAGGATCGTCGAAATGAACCCCACACCCAGACCCTTCATAGCTCGAATTGGATTTTGGGGTCCACTGCACTGCAACAAAAACACATGGACCAGAAGAGAGCGGACCTTCATCAGGTCCGCCTTCGTCTGGATGGACTCTGCCAGCCCGATGACGTCCTGGTCCTCTCGATAGTTGCACGGCTTTCCAGTTTAGGGTGCGCAGAAACTAGTGCTTGCACAGGTTCTCAACAGAGCATCTTGGTGATAGTAGCGCTTATTCGTTTGAATTTTGGAATCTGAAGTGGAGACATAGTCTCCATGTGAACAGCATGCGGACAGGATTGTCGATCCTGGGATGTTCGGCATATATGCATGGCTCGGGAAATCACAAAATGCCTGTGCCAACGCTCGTATAGGGTTTAGGGTTGAGGGCCTAGGCTTCAGGGCTGGGACGAGTAGAAATTGGAAGGAGCTGGCAATGATGATGCTGAAGAGGCAGAGCGCAGCTGCTTTCAAGCATCACGGCTTGACATGTATCGGATGCTGGCTCAGGCTTTTGGGGGCTCGGAAGCATCGACACTGCAGGTTTCGGTTTCACGCAAACTCCTGACTCCTAATTGGGAATCCCAAAAGGAGAGGAAGACCACTCTAGACGCACGAGTCCTGGGGCTGCAGAAAGAGAGACAGCAACAAGGACGTGTAGCGGATGTCTTGATACCTAGGTGCACCATCGGTTTGATCGACAAGCTCACGGCAGCAGGAGAAGGATGGATGCAGTCTGCTTCCAAACTCTCGGCCAGTCGAGGCAAAAGAAGGGGTGGGACCGCCACGCCTCTGCGGATTTGTGATCGTACTTTTGGAAATTGCATGTGGTGCACAAACTATCGGATATCGGCCAGCCAAGTCGGGAACAATAGCCGTTGGCCCAGTGGTGCCGACACTCGTTCGTTCTGAGCGGAAGACTACAAGGGGCTACCAACAGGCTACCAACTGAAGCGGCCCAGGGACATGCTCTCCGTCTTCTGTGCGACGTTGTCGGCGGGTAGATACGTTGGAGAGCCGGGTGCAACAAGCACCACCTCAACCCGTTGCCACAGAGCAACTGGAGGCAACGTTTACCGAGGAACACTTTCCCTTGACCCCACCTTTGTCACGGCTGTCTTCAAGGCGTCTGCGACACCGAGAGCCAGCAGGGTACCCGCAGAGTAGCCCAGGAGAGTGATGTTCTCGGGGTCCAGGCCCGAGTCTGCTATGGCCTAGAGAACCAATTGAAGCAAAGGACACACTGCAGCCAACACCGCACAGACACAGCAGACAGCCTGCTGAATCACCGACGTGGTGTGACGAATCATGTCATCCAGGTCCTCTCAGGAAAGTGCAAACATTCACACACAGCACGCTCCCTGGCTGGAACCTTGTTTTCGAAGGGTCATCACGCGCTTTGCAGCGGAATCCGATCCTCTAACCGCCCAAGTCCCAGAAGCCGGATCATGCTCTCGCTGAGTGCTGCAATCAAGGGTCTCTGAAGGCTACGACTGCAAAGGCGAAGGATGTGTGGGTAGTGCTGCGTGGTCCGCACCCAGGCAAACTACCAAGGAAACCTCCGCACGGACACGACCCGAATCCTCCAGAGGTGGGTCTGCCGCAACATTGACCATGCCCTTGGGCCGGAGACCAAAGACAGCAGCATCCGCCGAGAAGATCCCCTGCAGGTCTTTGCAAAATCTAAAGGACGGTTGCTCGCCTGAGGTTTGATTGACTGCATGAGACAACCCAAATGCATCAAGGACGTCAAGGAAGCTACTCTGGCCGGCAAAGGCTCTGTGCAGCATAATCACAAGCAAGACTTATTTGTATTACATACTCTATATTATATGCTGCATACTACCAAGTATACATCATGCCCCCAGAAAGCCAGCTGCAGCCCTTCATGGGTGAACTCAGGGGACGATGACTTCTGGCGACTGCGGCTTCTTGGAGTGCAGTCTACATTTTCCCACGAACTCTCCAGTATGTTGGCGGTAGTTCCTGTGCGTTTCGAAAAATACATGAGTGCGATTGCTATCAACGAAAGTAAACTAGCTGCTTCTTTGACTGCTAAGACCTCGAAGGGTAGTCAACCGGGTGCACTATGCACAACAAGGCCTCGGTCTCTGTGTACACTGCTTCAGGAAAAGGTCCGTTTCCGACAAGAGTTTTGAGTTTGGATGAATTCAAAATAGAATTCTCAACCAACAGCTTTTGCACCAGCACATGTTTTTCTAGAGTCGATGCTTTGCAAAGCGCACCGGCCTGCTAGCCGTGGTGGAATCAACTGCGCCGAGTCACATCTGCGGCTTCGCCAAGAGCCCGGGCATTTCCACCAAAGCCAGGAAGGCAGAATGCCAGCTTCCTGTCCATCAAACCGGTGGACAGGTGTGGGCCTGTTTCTGAGTCTGAGGCACTTTTCCCTTGGTCTTGGCACGTGGCTTCATCTTTCCCCGAACTCCATGCCCCCTTGTATGGTTTTCCTGTTGCAATATCTATGGCCTTGATCCGCCAGTAGGCTTCTGGCTTTTATATTTCACATTCCAACAGGACCTAGGCGAAGTGTAAAGCTTGAAAGGCTGCAGGTCAGGTTCTAACCTACCAGGGCCTGCTAAGGCTGCTTGCTGTACGCTTAGGCACAACGGGATTGCTGGTCGACAGACGATCATCTTTGCTGGTCGACAGACGATCATCTTATGAAGCTCTCTCTGGATTGGAAGCGCCACAACACACTTTGCCCAAATCAACGAGCCGAGAGATCCTAAAACTTGCGATGAAAACATTGCCTCGGTCTCGAAGGCCGTCGAAGCGGGACGAGGTAGCTCAACCTCAAGCGCTGAGCTGTGTTTTGCTTGGGAGATGCCGGCGGCGTTCGAAGGGACTTGACATCAAAACTGCTATCTGACGCTGGCCGAGCGACTGAGCAGCAGAGGAACCCATGAGCTCGCGAATGGTTGGTGTCTGGAAAAGCTCCATGACCTCGGATCACACAGCTTGGCTTACCTCTCTAAGTGTGCTAGAGAGATGGGGGCTGACCTCCGTCCACGGATCTACTGATCTGATCGTTTAGCGGTCTGCCGGTCGCTGCAATGTCTCAAAAACCGTTCTGGTTCTCCCATTGACTATTCAACTGGCTCCGCGTGCCAGATCCGCGTCATCGTAAGGGCGAGGTAAGCGCAAACTCTCTGGAGTGACCACAAAAAATGCCCGAACCTGAAACAGGTTAAACTTCTCTCCAGTGAAACTGGGCTGAAACTCGAGGCAGGGAGCCTCAAAGGCACCCTTTGCTCGGGTGGCCACCTTGCACTGCGCTTGCAGAGGCGCAAGTGCAAGAGGTGGGAGCTGCATGCAGGGCTTTGCTTGAAGATGTTTCTAGAAAACGGCTCTTCAAAGCACGGCCCTGTGGAAGCTTCCAACCCTTGACGCACAGCACATACCCTGTAAACCAGAACCAGATCTGTCCTGCTGCTACCATGTCAATCCGACGACAGCAGCGACGTTTGGTACATGCGAATGGCCAGCCTGCAACGCCTGGAAAGAGGTGCCGCCCAGCTCGAAGAAGTTCTGGGCCGCGGCTTTGGCTTAGACTGGAGGAACAACCCGTGCCAAGCCGCCAAGCCCAAGCTCGCCAAGCTCGCAGAGCCCACTGCACGCTTATCACGGACATCCGTACCCCCTGCCTGTCATCGATGGGCATCTACTAATTGTGTGCACCGAGCACGAAATCGGCACAGCTTATGATTCGGTCATGCCTGATCAAGCCTCTCGTGCTGATCTTCCGTTTCACAGTCTTGTTCCAGTGAATCAACCTGCCAGTTTTCACAAGCATGCCTAGAAGTGCTATCTTGCCTTTTCTCAGGGCAGAGCATCTTATGCTTGGGCTTCCTCAAGACATGTATACTGCCTGCAGCCTGGAGTCGTCATCAATACCAATGTCCTCAACGCCCAAAACGTCCTGCCGGCTTTAGCCGCAGATCTCTAGGCTGACAGCGATGCAACTCGCACGAACCAGACCTGATCGGATGATTTATGTATGGCGAGCGCATCTTAAACAAGCTACTGTATCATGAGGACCCACAAACAGCAGCGCAACCTGCTTTTCGAGAACAAGAAATCAGAAAGGCAAGGCTTTGACGAAATCATCGTGACAACATGTGAGCCCGTCTTGAACAAAGAACAGCCGATATCGTTGCAGGGCTCATTCGCTAATTGCAATAATGCCACCCAAACCCGGTGAATGCAGAGAAACAGCTTCAGAATGAATATGCTGCATCTAGGCTGCGGAATGCGGGCAACAGTACAAGGATAGATCTCGACAAATAAAAAATAGAAATGAAAAAAATGTGCATATATATATATATACACACACATACAGACAGACAGACAGACAGACAGACAGACAGACAGCCAGCCAGGCAGGCAGGCAGGCAGGCAGGCAGGCAGGCAGGCAGACAGACAGACAGACAGACAGACAGACACATACACGCACAAGAGTCAGACCTACAGATGAGAAGGATTGTTCGCACTGGCCATGGTATCCCAGTATCGTTTACGGCTTGTCGCTTCCCATACAGAGTCTTGAAGCCAGCTGTCCGAAGCAGCTCTTGCATACTCCACTGCATCTCTCCAGATAGTTTGCTGCACACCGGCTGAAGTCGCACAACCACGTGCATGTAAGCATCCTATCGCGATCAAGTGGAGCCATCTGGAAACACAGAAGTCTATCATGCAGTGAAATACAATATCCTAGGGACAGATCAAGCTCAGCTTTGCCACCTGTCTGCTTTCGCTGACAGTATACATAGTCCAGGGTCTGTTCCAAAGTAGTCGCACGCTTCTTGTACACATTCGTTCCGATTCATGCGCAGTGTGGAGCTCCATTCTACCTCTGAGAGGGATGCACTCAAGTAATATACCTGAACGGTCTGAATAATTAGAATTTGGCATGGGGGATATGCAAAGGAACCCTCCAGAATAACATCGGTAGTTAATCAGGCTTCTATACTGGGCTCCAAGCGAAGGGGATTCCAAGAAGCCACGCTGGCCTCTAATCTCAAACACTGAAAGCCGTTAAGCAACTCACACACTTAGGAGTAAACTTAATGTTAGTAATGTTAGAATTTTGATTAGCATTCATGTGAGGTTCATAATAGGACTCATGTTAATGCCCAACCCAATCCGGGATTTCAAAGTATTGCCAGTCTGTCCTGCCAGATGCACAACATCTCCTGAGAGATATCTGGATGCAGCTCTAAAGCGACTAGAGGGCTGCTTCAGCTAACTACAATTACGGAAGTGTCAGGAGTGTTGACGGCGCTACATGCGATGCTCCCGCTTGGATGTTCGTTCGTGAAGGCTTGAGTTGTGTAGCCATTCATCTTCTTGCTGAGAACCTACATAACTGAGCTGCTGGCTAAGGATTCCGCTGCTGACAGCACCCAATGTGAAGTGTTGCTTGCAGACTGGTTTTGGGTGCGGGTAGTGCCCAGAAGGGCATACTGCTTACCCGGTCGTTGTACGACAAGCAGAAGGAACAAGCCCATAAATCTGCCAGTTCTTGGTACCTCAAACACATTACTCATATGACACAGGCTTCAGGCACATTCAAAACACGCCCTAGTTTCCCTAGTTGCTGCAGGCCTTAAAACACTGCGCAGAAGCTGAAGCTGTCCAAACCTCAATCCCACTTGCGTACTGTGGCGAGGGATGAAGCTCGGACTCAGACACAAGAAGAATCCAACGCAACACTGGGATTGAATGTCAGCGCACGAAACCCCTGCATCAGTCCTATGTACAGATCAAATTCCATGAACTCAAAGATCCTAGCAGTAGAAACCGTGCAGGCTGGCAGTAGAACAGGTACATCAGCGCACCTGTCTCACACAGCCCTCTGAAACAAGGGCTCCAAATGCCGCATACAGTGCACGGCGGTTTGGTGCTACACGAGGCATTCCTCCTTGCAAGTCCAAGGTGCCCTCTCTGCGTCGGTGCGACCTGCAGAAAGGGCCTCCCCTCGGTGCGTCTCCAGGGTGGCGTTTTGGCGAGTCTGCAGTGTATGGGAGTAGATATCCTGGCTTGACAGGTGAACGGGCTGGCTCAAACCCTAAACCCCCAAAGCAGAACTCAACACCTCAAACGCCGGCACTTTGCGTCCTTCAAGCTCCTCTCGTCAATCTTGCCGAAGGCCGTAAGAGGGAGCCGCTCCATTGGAATGAACGAAGATGGCACCATGTAAGCCGGTAGCCTCGAAGCACGCGGAAGCTTACGCAAGCTCAGAACACACGCAACTCTACCTCCTCTACCCTCTCAAGAAAACATGTCAAAGCTAAGAGACTTTGGCACTCACACCGGCCAGCCAAACGCTGGAAAATGTCAGGATGCACACATGGAGACAAGCATGGTTTGACCGTTTCTGACCACTGCCCGAGGTTGTAGGAATCAGGCAAGAACGGGCCAGAAGTTTGCCGCTCGTCTTGAAAAAGAATAGTCGGCAGATGCACTGCGAACGCGGACGTCATCATGCATGCGGGCATGCGTGCTCGGTGCGAACACAGGCATCATGCGTGCACGTTGAAGCACTGCAAACATGCACATCATCAGCAGTTTGACAATGTGTGCCGTTCGTGCCTGATGCAGTGAAAGAAGCAAAACACTGCAAGTAACGCAAGATCATCATCATCATCATTATCATCATCCTTGTCGTCATCCTCATGATCATCAGGAACAGGTATCCTGATCACAACCGTCATTCATCATCATCCTCATCAACATCATCATCATCATCACCATCACAAGCATCACGGCTTGGATGTTTTCCGGGGTGGGAGCGGAACATTGTTGCTACGTCACCCTCCATAGGCATCATGATCCATAGGAATATCATTGCTACCGTCATCGGCATCGAAATCATAATCTTCTTCTTTTCTATCATCATCATCATCATCATAACAGTCAGAACAGCATCATCATCACCGTCATCATGTTCATCAAAAAGAACGCCTGTGTCATCATCATCATCATCGTCATCTTCAACATCATCATTGTGATATCTATTCATGTTCATCGAAAAGAACACTCGTGTCCTAGTCCTAATCATCATCATCATCATCAGCAGCAGCAGCAGCAGCACCACCACCACCACCACCACCAGCATCAACACCGTCATCTTAATCTCTATCATCATCACCACTCTTGTTTCAATCTATCACCGTGCCCATGATCATCACCATTACTACCCCCGCCATGTTTTCGGTTGCAGCATTGCTGATGGATCCCTCCCTCGGCGAGTTAGCTGGTCGCCGATCAGTCCAAAGTCTTGAAAGGATTACCCTTCATCTCCAGCCGAAAATGCAGGAAATGTGTCCAACGCTTGTGTGGGACGTCCTGCATTTTCTGTCGTCCACAACGCTTCTCAACGACGCGGAAATCTGAAGAATGCAACTCTGAATGCCATAACATCCGAAGCCTCAGCCGAGCAATGCAAAAAAGCCCCCGTGCTCTTAGAACATGCGTGCCTGTCAACGAATCTACGACCGTGTCAGGGCCTGGGACTCGAGATAATACGTTCTGCCTTCACTAGAGGAACCTCTCGTGGGGAACCACGGACCCTGCGCAGAGCCAATGAAGCCTGGCCCTCTACGAGTACCTTCGACACCTGCTGTAGCCACTGAGCTGAAGCAAATCGCAAAACCTCATACCTCAGACCCCTAAACCGCAAATGGGCCCAGTTGCTTGCTCGCCGCGTAGCGCCGCAGCCGGGCGAGAGCATCGCTCTCCGTTCCGGGATGGCCCTGCCACGCTTGTGACACCCGGGTTTCAGTTCAGAGTTTAGGAATGTGGGTCCTATTCAATTTGGTTTCGGGTTGAAGGTTTACGGTTTTTGAGGTTCTATACAGGATTCAGGTTTCGTGGCTACTCCGTTGTGTGCTGGCCGCAATGTCGCGGACGTTTGTTCTGGACAACTTGCATGTTCAACAACACGAAATAGTTTGGTTAAGCACCATGCGCTCGAAAGCTGGCATGGCTTCGGTCTGTGGGACGCATGCTCATAAATTTGAGCTACACGACAATGCTGCACAGTCATACTCAGAAGGTTACAGCTTGTTTCGGACAATGGGTTGTATGTCCTGATACTGCACAACCCAAAGGAAATAAGAAACGCAAAAACCTGGTCAAGACATGGCAAGACTTGCGGAATGCATGATGCACTCTGCTACGACTAAAGAATAGGGCAGGCCAGAAACAATTGACGGTGAACGGATTGGACCTGTGAGCGCTTACATTTTGATCACAGGTGTGATGGGCTTCAGCTATTGATTACTGGAAGCCGCACACCACAAAGCATAAAGGGCGGTGTCGGGTGTTTCGGAGATCTTCCTCGTCCATGACGATGAAGGCGACCAAAGCCATCTCAGAGGAATCTCCATCGGAGGTCCTGACGAAGCTTTAAACAATTCGACACAGCTTCGACACGTTGAGGTTTTGGCATCTGCGGCTGGGCAGACTGATGGGAACTTTTCATATTGCTATCTTTCCCCCGCAACATGAGCACTAAGGTACTGTAAGGAATGCTTTGGGGCTGCTTGTTGACTCGTAGGCTTGGGGACATCGGAGCCTAAGCAATCGGACGAAAAAGTCTGCCCGACCAGGGATCTACGCACCTTTGGCTGGCCAAGCGGTTTCTGAGCAGAGAATGTCGGAACTTATGTGCCCTAAGAGGTGCCGGATGGACGGAAGGCTCCTTGTCACAGGCAGGACGTAGCAGTCGTTCAGGCCCTCCGCCTCAAGGAGAGTCCTGGTGACGTCCCCGATTTCCACTCGAAAGCCTCTGATCTTCACCTCAGCGAACTGATAATGTACTTGTTGCTTTGAGCACAAATAAACAGATGTTAAGTCATTGTGATAAAACCATCCTAAGAACTAGGGGCTTCTCAATCCGGTTCTGACATTGACTACATTTCCACCTGCCGGCAGCTGACCTGGCCCTTGCCCACCCGCGACACGAACTCGAGGTTGCCATCTGGCAGCCATCTTGCCAGGTCTCCCGTGCGGAACATGTAGCGGCTGCCATCTGACAAGTCTTTTTGAAAGGCCTCGTTGTTTGCCTCTGCACCGAGGTAGCCGGGGGAGACACCTGCGCCGCCTATGTAGACCTCACCGGCAACGCCGACAGGGCAAAGCTGGACACCCTTCGCCACATAAATACTTGTCCCGTGGATGGGTTTGCCGATCGGCAAGTCTCTGCCCTCGTTCAGTTCGCACTTGTGCAACGAAGCGATGACCGTCGTCTCCGTGGGGCCGTAGGTGTTGAAGATGCAAGTGTCTGGATGTTTCCGCTGGAATCGCTCGTACTGCGGCTTCTTCAGCTTTTCGCCACCTGTAATGACCGTGCGTAGGCCAGGGAGCGAAAAATCGCTGACGGCATGGAAAAGCGACGTGCTCACTGTCAGGTGCGTCACGGCGTCCTCTTTGACCACGCGGCGCAACGTCTCCTGTTTCTGAGGGCTCCAGAAGGCGAAGCCGGCAACTTCTGAAAAAGCCCTCATCAACTCTCTGACAAAAGACACCACTCCAGAGAGCGGCCCCAGAGAGAGAGAGAGAGAGAGAGAGAGAGAGCTGCACTTTCCAAATCTCCTCGCTGAGCAAGACCTGCTTCGGAACCATGTCGATGCATCCGCCGGCCAGAAGGGTAGGGAAGACTTCCTCCAAGCAGAGGGCATGGAAAAACCCTAAGGCTCAGTCAGGAACCATGTGAAACAAGAATAGGCAGGCAGGGACGACGCCTAGCTGATTGATTCCCATGGGTGAATGAATGCGTATTCCCTGACAGCATCCACTCGTGCATAATGCTGCAGGGTGCTGTCGGGTGGAAGGGTAACACAGATGCCAGCAGTGAGGCTAGGGAATGCAAATCTAGACTTCAATGATTCAAGCCTTCAAGCAGCAACACCCCTCAAAGCCGACATGATCTCGTGCTCCGATTGTTGCCAACCCGATGACTCCTCCACGAAGATGTCAAAGCCCTCTGCTGAGCACTGGAGCATGCAGGAATCCGATGTGAGGCCATAGTACTGGATCACACTGCGGCAGTAGTTGACCTGAAAGCTTTCTATATCTTTCCATGGTTCACCTGCGGTTCAAGAAGTAGTTGTTGCTGCTGTTGATGCTGTTGTTGGTGTTGTTGTCGTTGTTGTTGTTGCTGCTGAT